AGAGAGAGAGAGAGAGAGCAAAAGGAAGCAATTTCTGTGCACAGGGAAGGCCCCTACCTCAAATGCAGCACAGGATTTGATGGGGTAGAGGTAAAGGTTGGTGACAGTGTATGGCCCACGGTCCCCAGGCAGGATGCCTGCAGCTTTCTCTGAAGGAGTCTTCTGGGTTCTAACAGCCTTTCTCAGTGAAGCACACAAATCCACGATATTCACAGTGGAGCTGGAGTTATTCCAAACCCCGGAGCCCATGCGGGTGCCCTCCCGAGGTGAGACACAATGTCTGCCAGTGACCGTGGGCATGTCCTGCGCCTTCCCCTCTGTTGTTGGGGCTCCAGCTTCCCCGGTGCTGGCCTGAGGGACAGGCTGGCTGCCTGGTAAGCACAGGCGAGTGGCTACAATGAACCTGAGAAATGCCTGGGCGTCCTCCAATGTAGACATGTACCCAAAGGAAATCCTCACGGAGCCCGTAGGCTGCCCATCTATGAGGTCAACATTGTCTCCACAGACATGACCAGCCTGGAATAAAAAGAAGATAAATCAGCCAGAGGGACTCATGCCTCACGGATAGACTAGAGACAGTTTTGTAAGATAAATTTTTAAATTAACCCAGGAAATCAGACCTGCAACACTATGTGTGCTGTGTGTCTGAGACACAGCTCAGCTCTGAATATTCAGGGCCGATGTCCTAAAGCCCCTTCTGCTCATTTGTGAGTGGAAGCCAATACCAATCTCAAGGGGCCATGGAAGAGCTGAAGAGAAACACTCATGGGAAACATTCACCAAGAGCTGGCCCACAGAGGAGTCAAAGGACAAGCAGAAGTTTCAGAAGCACTGAGAAGCCGGCTTCATAGTCTACCAGGGCTGAGGCGAGAGAAATGTTTGCTGGCCACCCACCCAGGACTCAGCCTCTCTCAGGACCTAAGCGAGGCCTGCGTCCCTGAGAACTACCCCTGGGAGGAGGAGGGCAGGCCAGAGATGGCTCGCCTGAGGCCACTGTGAAGGCTCACGTGGGCCTGAGTGACCCTACCAGGATGGAGAGGAAAGGCAGGGGGAAGTCAGCCTCCCAGCCCAGCTGCCCGACGGTCAGTGTGACACATGAGGCTGCCTGGGACACTGCCCCAGAGGGTCCAGGCCAGTCACCCAGGGATGGGGCCACGGCATCGCACACAACCCATATTGTATCAGGAGCTGCATTTACTTACGTCCTGAGCCTCTGCCTCCCTTTCTCTGACACACCCTGCTCTCTCCCCTTCTCTCTCTCTCTCTCTCTCTCTATTACTCTCCGTTTTAAATAAAATCCTGTGAATCATGATTAGTTAGGAATAGAGTGCCTACAATATTCAGCAGAAACCAACAGAAACTAAAATTAGAAATTACTCCAAAATAAATCAGGGCTCTTTGCCACTCAAATCATTCTTATGAAATGGGTCAAAACAAGTTGTACCCTAGAGAGAAAAACCTCAGCCTCCGAGAGAGACAGGAAGGGTGGGGATTCTGGGAGACACAGAATCCTTGGAACTGCAAACTCCACCCAAAGAGAGATGAATCTAGACTAGTTAAGGGTGTGTACTAGCACATCCCTTGTTAACAGCCCCCTCTGCCTTTACATATTTTCCCTCCAAGGAAAAAATGAATCAGAAGGGCTGGGGATTTAGCTCAGTGGTTCCGCTGCCTGCCTTGAAAGCACAAAATCCCAAGTTCCATCCCCAGTACCAAAAAAGAATCAGAAAGTACTGCCAGAAAGTGGTGTGCATGCCTGTAATCCCAGCATTCAGGAGGCTGAAGCAGAAGGATCTCAGTGAGTTCAAGGCCAGCCTGAGCTACACAGAGAGACCCTGTCTCAAAAAAAAAAAAGCAAGAAATAATATTTTAAAGTATTTTCTGTTCTTACTGACCCACTTTTTTCTTTGTACATCCACAGAAAGGCCCCAAGAAATAAGCCCAAAAAGCCAGCACCTCCCCTCCCCCACCAAACAGGTGACCAGCCACAAATGTAGCCACTATGCAGGCCCAATCGGACTCCCAACATGTGGGCCACAGGGACCTGTACTGACCTCAAGATGCTTCTTGACCATCTCGTTGCTTATGCCCAGGTGCCTCTGGCAGGCCCCTGTGTTACAGAAGCAGCCAGTTCGCAGGTGGATGTTGTACAGGCTGGCCATTTTGTCCACCTGTGGATCAAATATGACATTTACAGATGTCTGGTTTTACTCTGATAGCCTGAAAGAGTTTGGGATCAGTGTTTGGACCTCTGTTTCCTAGCAATAAAATGCTAATCTATGCTTGGAAGTTTGCTCTGAGGTGTACACTCTATGGTGGGTCTACTAAACATTTTATAAAATGTTATTGGAAATTGAAGTGTATCCAGTTGAATTATAGAAACATGCTTCAGGCTAAGTTCTAAGTTAAGAGTCCACATGTTTCTGGTGATGGTCACAAGAACAGCACTTGGTGGGGCTGGGGACTTGGAGCCGCTCCTCAGCACTGGCTGCACACGGTTTGACTGCAGAGCCAGCCCCAGAGAGATGCTCACATCCTGGCCCACAGTGTCACTACTGACACTGTAATATCCATTTTCTTTTCCTAATTTCTTTTTGGTACCTGGGATCAAACTCGGGACCTCACACTTGCCAGGCAGGTGCGGCGCCACTGAGCTAGATCCCAGGCCCATGTTTTCCTAATTTCTCCAACTTTGGGTTCATTCAGAATCACCGCTCAGTGTAGAAGTTCCTACTGTTCTTTCCTGCCCTCTGGAGGCTCTGGAAGGTCATTAACATGGACTGGAGCCCCTGGGTCAAAGGTGTTTATCCCTGCTCCTGGGATGTCAAGCATTCTACTCCCTCAGGGATAGGGAAACAAATACACCCTAGCCAGATGGCTAAGCCTTTGAATTCTCCCTGCAGGAAGTCATAGGTAGCATGGTCAGAGGCAGCCACAAGAAGTACAGTGTCCCCTGTAGCCCACCAGCCACCACAGTCAGACTGGGCTCACAGCTGGGCAAGGGCACCTCCCAAAGACCCTTAAGACCATGGCTGTCTTCACTCTGGCCAACTCCCCAGGCTATCAGAATGAGAATAAATCATTCATTCCCTAGCTGAACTGAGTGCCTCGGAAAAACAACTCTTCCTTCACCCTTGGCTAACAGCCCAGTGGCGCAGAGACCTGCCAGTGGAATCCTAGAGGTCCCTAGCCTGTGTGACAGGACGTGGTGGCATGATTGGTCAATCCCATCTCCAGGCTTGGGTCTCCACTCACAGGGCAGCTCCTAGGGAAATCCTTATTGGTCCTCCCACTCAGTTCCCAACAGAAAGGACAGAAGTCCCCCAAGACCATCCTTATTCACCCCCATAGTCAATATTCTGTTACCACTGCTGTTAAACAGCCAGCTAAACTTGGAAGAATAAGACCACTGAATTATGCTCCTGGCTACAGTGGGTCAGGAATCCAGACTGCGCACAGGAGAAATGGTTTGCCTCTGTTCCTTCATATCTTGAGTCCCAGCCAAGAAGAGCCAAAGGCTAAGAGTGTTTTAAGCTTCCTTTTTGAGGCATGTTACCCAGCCTCACCTGCCACAGGATACTTAAGGGTATTTCCTTTGCCCCGTGCATATTCTACCCCAGCATACAAAGCTGGGTAAGTGTCTGATCCCAGAGCCTGACAGGCTCAAAACTGAGGCCTGCCAACCACGGGGCCTGGGCTTGGCCTCTCCATGGAGCTTGGCTTCCTCCACCAGGGCAGCCTCAACACACAAGCCAGTGGCTGACCTGGTAATGCAGGGCTCCAAAGGCAAGTGCTCCAGGAATCAAAGTCAACACGGCATCACCTTTTCTGACCTAGCCTTAGAAGCCACCGTGTCAACTGCACCGCACAAACTAGCCCGGAATTAAGGGAAGAGACATGGATCCCAGCCTTCCATAAAGGGAGTGTCAATGTCACCTGGCCGGGGGTAAGGGTGGAAGACACTGCTGCAGCCACACTTACACTCTGTCCTGACTTCCCACTGATGAGTCAGCGTCCTCCGACCCTCAGCCCTGGGGAGCCTCACTCAGGCCGTGTTGTCAACATCAGTACCAGTATTGTGCACCATGGTGACTCACTAGCACTCTCTAGTAACTCGGCCTAAATATTCGCTGATATCTCATCCCTTCCTCTATGTATGATGCTAGCCAAAGAGGAAAACACAGCCCTATTTGAGCCACAGCCTTGTTGCTAGCCAGGTAAAGGAAGCTGGTTACCTTGGCAGGGGAAGGGCTGAATCCAAAGAGAGGCAAGAAACCAGCCAGCCACAATGCACAGGAGCCTCACAGCCACGGCCCTCAGTGTTTATTGAGCACTTACTTTACCCCTGGGTCCTGTGCAAAGGGATGCAAAATGCTGTATCTAATATAACCATCCTAGTACCATAAGCCAAGCCAGGTATATTGTTTTCTCATTTCACTGATCTTGGAGAGCTTAAGTTAACTTGTCCAACCTTACAGAGCCAGCAAAAGGCAGTCTGAATCTGAACACACATCTCAGCAACCAGATGTTACGACTCCCATCAGTAGGGAGAGTAAAAATAGGAGGCCCAGATATCACAAACAAAAAACCTAAAGTCTTCATATAAGGCTAAATGTCTGTACTCGTCCCCTGAAAAGAGACAACTTTCTGAAGTCCGCCAACATCCCTGTGGAATTTCCACACCACAAAGTTCCCACAAAGCCCAGGAAAACAACTGTGCCAGCCACGAACCCGCCACTGTGATCAGCTTCCTCCACTGACACCGGAAGCGGAAACTTACCTTGCACCCCACCCCCACCCCGGAGGGTGGCAACCATGTGAACACTCCTACATCCCAGACAGGAAGCTCCTAGTGGCTGCTCCCCCAGCTACACCTGCCACAGGACACTTTGTCACCTGTTGCCCTTTCCCACTTCCTTGGGAAATACAAATTTACTTTCAATTCTAGAATGAAACTTGTTTTACTAACTACCTAGATTAACATATTTAAGCAGGCACTCTTTCCCTGATGCATATTCTACCCCAACACACACACACACACCACACCAAAACTGCATACTTCAAAGTGGTGCTAGGCTGGTTCTGTGACCAGTGTGATAGCTGAGGGAGGTCCTTAGCGACTGGGGCTTCTCCACTGTTAATTCTGAGAGACCACCAGGAGTTGTAGAATGTCTGCCCCAAATGCCAATGGGGACTAACATTTCCACCAGAAGAATAGTTCCCAAGTTTGTTCCTTAGAAAGTTTGTGTCTGTTTAGAAGAGTGGGGCAAGGGAGACTCCCTTGGGAAATAGATTTTTATTTTTTACACTGGGTCTCCCTGCATGGCCCAGGATGGCTCCAAACTCCTGGGCAAAAGTGATTTTCCTGCCTTAGCCTCCTGAGTAGCTGGGACTACACACACACACCAGAGTGCCCAGCCCAGAAACAGGTTTTATTTGAGAAATTCTAAGTTTAACAGAAGTATCAGGGATTATGGCTGTCAGCAGAAAATAAGCACCAAGTTCCAAACTTAGCTGATGATCAAATCTGCTCCAACTCAATCCCTTCCCCACATCTGCAAACCATGGATCCCATTTTTTTTCATGGAAAAATACAGGTAGCATCCACATAGCAGAAACCACTGCTAGCAAACCCACCAGGTCCCTTGAACTAAGGCAGCAATAAAGGCTTTTGTGGACCATTTCTGCTTCTTGCAGAAAAGGCACTCTGCTGACAAATGCTGTTACCACGTGGTGATCCGTCGTGGGGGTGCCAGGCTGTCTGTACACAAAAGGACTTCAGCTGTGGTTCTGTCCACACTGCTTTTCTGTCTGGCCTAATTCAGGGTGTCTTCTCTTGCTGGCAAGCTGCCTCCTGCTCTACTGGTAACAGTAGAATCAGCCTCTCTCTTCCAACTTAAAACGTGCCACTCCACCAGAGTAAAAAGGGCTGGAAAAACACACAGCCCAGCTCGCTTGTGCAGCCGAGAGTGAAAGACTCTGGAGTGAGGGCCAGCACTCCCAGCAGTGTCTGTGCTTCACAGCTTCTTCCAGGGGCACAGAGGTCTTCCCTGACAACTTCAAGGCTCAGCAAGGCATCCAAGTTCCAGAAAAGAGTGACTCTGCTGCATGAATGTCAGCAAGATGAAAAGCGAACCCACCTCGGAGTAACCAATGATGTTCCCGCCATTATCCAGCACATTAAAGTTGATGATTGGACCCTGAACGTCCGGGCTGCTGAACTCAGAGTCGCTGTAAATCCGCACCACTGGGGCTCCGTTGAGGTAGTGGAGAGAGGACAGGGCGGCGTGGGTGTACTGAGCCAGTGAGAAGGTGTGCTGCATAATGTTCTCCATGCCACCTCAACACCAAGGAGAAAAGCAGAGAGTCATGAACTTCACAGGAAAGTCACACACTCATTTTTTAAGAAAATAAGATTATTACAACTGGTCGACCCAGACCTCATATAAATGGTACAGCACTGCCCACCACATGACAAAGATTTAAGTCTTTGGTACTAAAAAATAGTTCATCATTGTTGTTTATGTAGAATTTTTCTATAGGAATTCTTGTCATTCTTTTTTTTAAATATATATGTGTGTGTATGTGTGTATAGAGAGTATTACTAAAAAATTCAGATAATGTAGACCCCTTGGTAGAAGATGGCAAAAATATACAACTTTATTCTTTTTTGATTTGTTTTGTTTTTTGGTACCAGGGATCAAACTTGGGATCTTGTGCTTGCGAGGCAGGCAGTAGAACCACTGAGCTAAATCCCCATCCCTACAACTTGATTCTCAAAATATTATTTTTGCTGTTTGTTTTATTAATGTTTGAATCACTTTAATTATACAAAGCAGTTAAGAACACATGCTTTAACAGGAATGAATCTGGAAAACACTATACTAAGTGAAATACAGTAGACACAAGAGGGCAAGCACTATATTATTGCTTTATATAAGGTATCTAGAAGAGGCAAGATAGTGGTCACCAGAGGCTAAGGAGGAGAAGTTATGTTTAAGTAGGCAGAATTTCAGTTTGAGATGATGAAAACACTCTGGATAAGGTAGTGGGAACATACACACAATGGTGTGTGCTTAAAAACCACTGAATTGTGCACTTAAAATGTAAATTTTATGTTATGTATATTTTACTACAACTGTTTCTAAAAAGGGCAATTTAGTAGGGAAATATCAGTTTGCTATAATATGGACCATGATTGTCACAGTTGGCTCCAGCCCTATTAGTTGCTTCCACCTGCAGTTTGGGGTCCTGCTAACGGACTTCTTGGAAAAGGTTTGTTTTTTGATGCCTGCCTTCACTGCCTTCTCCTGTCCTGGACGATGCCCACTCATCTGTCTGCACTACCATCAGGGCAACCCTCCCTTTGCCAAATCCCATCTGCCCCAGTCCTGGGCCAAGGCTGAGAACCTGAAGAGTCCCATTAGTGTGATGAGAGAGAGGAAGAGCTGCCTAACCAGTAAGTCCCACCCTTGGCTTGCCACAATCCCACCCTCACAGAGCTCAGCCTTAGAAGGGATGCCCACGAGCACAGCCCCAGGGGTGATACCTGGCTCACCAGCCAGGATCTTCCATTGTGTGCTTTTATATCCATCCCCGTCAGATGGCACATGCCATCTGTCCATGTGTAGCCTCCAGTGGGTGCCCCCCAAGTGCCCATGCCCAGAGCACAAATCAGAAAAGAAAGTTCACCTCATGCAGAGGCCAGTGGCAGAGGCAGTGGCCAGAAACTTGGGGCTGGGCATTAGTCTTGGACTTAAGTTGTAGCCCTCCCAGCTACCAGCCTGGGAAGACCTTGAACCTCTCTTGTCACCAGCTCCTCCATTTGGCTGCAGAGAGGATCCAGCTGAGTATGTCCCCGGGACTCCATTCCCAGCCAGCAGATACCACTGCACCTCCACAGCTCCTAATTCAGAATGTCTCCCAACCGTTATATATTCTTTTAACTGACAAGTCAAACACACACACACACACACACACACACACACACACACACACACACTTGCCTTGTTTCCCTGCTCTGAGAATTCATTTTGAAGATAATCTGAATCTGATTTAACCTCACTCAATGTCCAGCCTTCACTGGTATGTGCCACTCACTTCCCTGTATGGACATCATCTCTTTCATCAGAACCATTGCCCATACCAGGACGCCCTCAAGCACATGGTTCACAAGGGCTAATTCCATGTGGGTGAGAAGGTCCACTGACTGACCTGTCAGGCGCTCCAGGGCATCAAATCCATGTTTCAGCGCTATCACGTCGAGGTATGAGATGGTGCCATCTTCAAACCTGCAGTGTGGGAAGAGTGGAATGAGGTCAAGCTGTGGGCAGCACACTCCCTGACCATCGTGGGGCATGTAACGACCGTCCGATTTCGGGAGAATGAGCATCTATCCACAGCCACCCTCTGTCTCCTTGTGAAATACTGCTCTCTCCTTCAGAAGACCCACCTGGCTGCGTCTGGCCCTGTCCAGCTCTGCAGCTTTCCAGAACTACTTTAAACTTCCAAGGTAGAGTGATAGCCCTAAAAGACAGTTACCACCTTGAACCAATTTGACAAAATAAGAGATGCTTCATGCTGGGGATTTAGCTCACTGATTCCGCTGCCTGCCTTGCAAGCATAAGGATCCAAGTTCAATCCCCGGTACCAAAAAAAGAGATGCCTTCGCTGTCTGAAAATTTGGATTTAGAGCTTGGTGCAAGAGGCTCTTGAAATACTGCTCTCTGACCACAAGAGGGCACCACTGACAGCGCATCATTTCAGGGCAATCAGCAGAGCCGCTGCGAAGTTCGTGACACAAGTACTTGGCTCCAAAGAGGATGGACCAACCAATTTAGGTGAAAATTACACGGTTAACATCGCAGATGTACACCATCCTGACTGTCAGACTGTTATTTTTGCAGTTCATTAGAATTATCATCAAGTCTTTGTTGTTCACCCACTGTGGGTCAGGCACTGTCCTAGGTACAAAGCACACTGCAGAGAACAAGATAGACAAAAATCCCTGCCCTCATAGCCTTACATTCTATGAAACTAGGAATAAACTCAGCAAACAAACAGAGAAACCAAGCAAACAACACACCAGAGTATAATAGGCGCAAACGAAGATGAGTAAAAAATAGAGGCGGCTGGGCAGGGTGAATCACATAGCAGGGCCATGTGGAAGTCAGGAGCAAGAGAAAGAGCTAATGTTCAGGAGGACTAGGATGACAGTTTCCAAGGGAAATGGCACCAGGGAGAGGGCGCAGCAAAGGCCCTGGGCAGCAGAAACCCTGGCATACTGCAGGGACAGCAGACCGGGCGATTGAGGCAGGAGACAGAGAAGTAGAGGTGGCATGGGACTCCACGAGCTGGAAGATTCTGTGAGAGGAGTGACAAGATGTGATGTGCCCTGGCCTTAAGGAGACCGCGAGACCCCTGGGAAAGGACAGACCTTTGGGGTAATGGGGGGGGGGGCTTCTGCAAGCATCCACGAGAATGGTGACCAGCAACTGCCTTAGGCACATTAAAGCTTTCAATGAAAACACTGTACTTTGTATTTTAATGCTCTAGAAACAAGATGTGCTTAAAATATTATTGCTGCAATGCTCATTTCTTTACAAAACTAATCCACACAAGTAATGAAAACATGTACCAAAGAAAGGGACACAAGGAGGGAGAAGGAATGGCAGGAAAAGGGGGTAAAAAGGAATTAGGAGGACCCGGGATTTCGCTTAGGGGCTCTACTGCCTGCCTCACAAGTGTAAGGACCCGAGTTCGATCCCCAGTATCAAAAAAAAAGGATTAAGATGTATTATGCACATGTACCAACTCCTCACAAGAAATGTAAACACTGTGTACTACAAACTTTATGTACCGCACTATTGGTGGCAATGTAAACTAGTTTAACCTTTATGGAAATCAGTATGGAGATGTCTCAAAGAACTAAAGTTAGAAATTCTATATGACCTAGCTATTCCCCTTCTAAGTATTTTCCCAAAAGAGTCAGAGACACCATACTACAACAGTACTCCATGCCAATATTTATAGCAGCACAATTCATAACAGCTAAATCCTGGAAGCAGTCTGTAAGCCAATCAACAGATGAATGCATAAAGAAAACGTGGTATCCAATGGAACACTACTCAGCTATAAAGAAGGATAAATTTAAAACATGTGTAAGAAAATGGGTGCACCTGGAAAATATAATGAGTAAAATAACTCAAGACACAAGCTTAAATAGCATATGGTATCTGTCAGGTTGAGTATAGCAAAGTACAAAGAGCAAAATAAAGGAGGGACAGGAGACAAGAGGATAGATCTCTTGCAAATGGAAAGGGGCCCAGGAGACCAAGGGTAAGGAGAGGGGGGAAGAAAGATCAATTAAGATATGTTATCTTCAGGAATCAAATACCCACAATGAATATAAAATTATATGTCATAAACATGAGCTAAGAATAATTACAAAAATGAAAATGGGGAAAGTGGATTTAGAGATGGAGGAAGGGAGGTGGGTGAGAAGAGGATTAAAAAAGTAAACAAGCTGTGTTATGTACATGTACCTACTCCCCAAAATTAATGTAAACTTCATGTACTGTAAACATGCATTAATAAAATTTAAAAGAGGGCTGGGGATTTAGCTCAGTGGTACCACTGCCTACCTCACAAGTACAAGTTCAATCCAGAGTTCAATCCCCAGTACCAAAAAATAAACAAATTAAATTAAATTAAAAAGAAACATACACTGGGCTGGGAATTTGGCTCAATGGTTCCAACGCATGCCTTGCAAGCACAAGGGCCTGAGTTCAATCTCCAGTACCAAAAAAAAAAAAAAAAAAAAAAAAAAAAAAAAAAGTACTGATAAAGAAAATGATCTGAAAAGAAATTTAAAAATAAAAAATGAATGATAATAGACACACAGAACTCATGATTCAATCATGAATTAATTGATAAATCACAAATGAGTTAGTAAACACTAATAAACTAAACATTATTAGCTAATAATGATTTACATTATTAATCAATAAATAGATATGGGTTAATCAGTAATTAAAACTCTTAGAAAAAAAGAGAAAAGTCCTTTTGTTTCTATCAAGTGCGGCGCCATTGAGCTAAATCCCCAGCTTTGTATTTCATTGAATTATACAATGAAAAAGGTTAAAAGCATGGTTGAGGCACATATTTAATAAGCATTTGGATTGAGTACTATACATTGAGTTCTAGTCTGAAGTTTATAAGAAAAATGATTGACTTACAATGGCAAATGAATATATTCTGCTTTCTGTGCGTCTTCATGTGGCACATGCTATATGTAAAGAAATCCACCCAAGTCAAAGCAAAGAGGTTGGCACAGCCCAGCCCACCCATGCCCTGGCCCATAGCAAGCTGGCTTTCTCATGGCCTTCAGGTTCCTATAGCCAAATTGTTTGTAGTTTCTCTGTTTTGCCTTTTATTTTCATTATGTTGTACCAGTCCTTCATTTCTTGCTTGGATATATTACACAGTAAATTATCACACATGGATTTAAAAGATTTCAACTATCCCAACTATGGAAATGTCCTTTAAAAAAAACAGACTGCAAATTGTCTCATCCATTTATCAATGCCCAGTCTCTCCTGGTGCTTCACCTACATTGGCTGTAAAAGGATGGTACCATCACCCCCACTTTACAGGAAAACTGTGAGGGGCAGAGATCAAGCTTCATGTCCCCCAGCTGCTGATCTACCCCCCAGAAGCCCGGCTGCAGGCCTACAGCTAACCCTGACTCCACCCCGAGGCAGGACTCTGAGGCTGCACCAGATCCCCTCAGACCCAGGCCTTCTCTGGCACCAGCAGGGTGATTCACTTTCTCAACCTCATGGTGGCCCCTACAGCAGAAGCCTTGGTCAGTGACCATTTCACCTGCCACCCATATTCAATATGACAAGTGCTGCCATCACCATCTGGGAGAGCCCTTGGCATAACCCCCGCCAGCTGCCTGCAGCCTGAGGAAATGTATAGGTCAGTGGGCGAATCTTTTAGAGACCACGTACACGAACTGCAACCCAAAAATTCACTTATTTATTGCAGAACACCAAAACTGCAATTAAACTCAAATGCTGAGTTTTCACGTTAGAAAAAACTCATACACTTGGCTCACGTGTCAGAGAGGGCTCTGTGTCCCCTTTGCAGCACATGTGACATAGGTTCACCACCAAAGGTATAGGCCAGGGCAGCCAGCTTGCCCCCAGCCTGTTTGAGGGCAGCCTCCCCTCCCCTTCCCACGGATGCTGCTCTACAAGTCTGGAGGCCTCTGGTTCAGCTCACTTCCTGCTAACAGGGGCCAAGCAGAGCTGGCTCCAGCTGCTGGAGAACTGAGGGTGCCACCATTGGGTTCACACTTGCTCCAAAGACTCATCTTTTAAAGTCAGCACCGTGGGACCAAGCCCTTGCCTTGTCACCTCTGCTCGCAGCTCTTATCTGCAGGGCTAGTTCTCCCATCACAATGGAACAAGCCACACATGGGGGCAGAGATTGCTGAGCTGCCTCCCAGATCTGAGCCCAGCTGCCAACCTGTCCCTGCCAGCATCGATCAGCTCCCCTAACTCTCAGCTCAGACACCCCTGGCATAACCCTATATGCAACACATGCCAACCTGCCATCAGCCACCCCCATGGCAAGGTTACCTTTCAGACACCAGAGGCCTCGGGACGTAGAAGTCTTCTCCCACAAGGTAGGCAGCAGCGGTCCCTCCTCCAAAGTAGCTTTTCCTCAGTCGTGGAGCCACACGATTGTTGATTAGCAGAGCACCCAAGCCGGTGGGGAATCCGAAGATCTTATAGAAGGAGATGGGGACAAAGTCTGCCTGGTGAGCCGAGAGGTCCAAAGGCGAGGTGCTCACGTAGGAGGCTGCATCCAGCAGCACAAACCATTTCCCAGGCACATTTGCAGGGTTCAGCCGCCCGGACTTGACCTCCTCTATCCAGGAGAGGGGATATCTGGTTCCTGAAAAGTTACTTTGAGCTGGGTAACAGAAGAGGTGTGGAAGCTGGCAGCTGGGGTCACAGGCCATGGCACCCCGTACCTCAGCTGACCACATGTCCTCTGGGCTGACAGAGGTGGACGTGACGTTCCTGGCCTCAGCAACCTTCCTCATGCCCACCACAGAGGTGTGGTTGTCGGTGAGGTAACAGAATTGACTCCCGCCATTCTCTGGGCCCCTGGACACCCACGGAAAGGCCTCTGCCACCAGTTTGAGGGCAGCCGTGCTCCCGGATGTGAAAATAATGCTATAGTCCTCGGGCGTGGTGTGAAAATGTGCCAGAACCCTAGAAGAAACAGAATGTCAGGTGCGCCAGGGTCTCAGCGCTGTTTGGAGGTTACTTCTACTAAGAAAAATATATCTACCCTCGTAGCTAGGAAAAATCCAGATAGGCTTTGTGTTATGGCCTGTGTCTACACGTCCCCCTAAAGCCGCATGTGGTCATAGGCAGGGCTTCTTCAGAGGTGGCTGGATTTAGAGTGGGTGACACTGGAATTGACTCATGGTGCAGAGCGAGGCTCAAGGGCACTAGGATGAAGGGTGTGAGTGCTATCTGCCCTAAGGAGTCTGGATAAGAGGGGCAGGAAGAGACTTCTAAGGTCCCTTGCATGCCTCTGCTGTCTTCTGCTTGCCAGAAACGTCTCCTCTGCGATGCATCTCTGCCAACCCATCCTGCCTTGAAGCTGGCTTATTATGGACTGAAACCTCTACAAACTGAGCTAAATAAAGGTTTCCCCTTTTACTTTGGGTGCCGTGTATTGTGTCTTAGCAATGAGAAAAGTAAGACAGCTTTGCCACAGCTGTAAAGTTAGGGCTCAGGCAGAAAAAGTCATGGGAAGAGACGACTCCATCTCCAGAGACACACAAAAGTCTACAGTGACCCTGACACTGGTTTTATACACCTTCTCCTTGGTGCGTCCTCCCTGGTTCTATTACAAGTTTTAAGTCATCGACCTGTTTTATACCACTTTTAATCTTGGCAACTCTATCGCCACACTATCATTTTTCAAATCTGAAACAACTTGGAAGTTGCATGGATTCAGGCAACTTTAGGTACCACCTGGAAATTAATTACCAGAACCAATTACTGCATGCTAAAAAATATAACAAGCTATTTAACAACTAGTTAAAAAGTGGGAAGGCTGGGGATTTAGCACAGTGGTTCCGCCACCTGCCTTGCAAGTGCAAGGTACTGAGTTCGGACCCCAGTGACAAAAAAAAGAAGAAAAAAAAGGTGAGGGTATCAGATTTAGTGGCTCACACCTGCAATTCCAGCTATGAAGAGGCGGAGGAAGGAGAAACACAAGTTTAAGACCAGCTTGGGCAACTTAGCAAGACCTCGTCTCAAAAATAACCCCAAAGAAACAAAAAAGAAGGATATGAATAGGCAGTGCTGTTTTTCTTTCTGAAAACAAGACCTTGGAACTTGGGTCACTCCTTGTAATTTCATTATCCCCTCACCCACTGTAAACAACTGGGTGACTACACAGCCTCCCACCTGGGCTTCTTATCTACCCCATTCTGTATGTAATCTCACCTTTGTGTCCTTGACACGTATGCATTATTTTAAAGCTAAATGTGATCTTCCTGAAACCTACTCAGAATCTTTATAAGGTGCAGGCAGATGCTAAGAAGGAAGTCTGCCCACACAGGTGGCCAACACAGGCAGGTGTCCCTGTCACTCACCTGTAACGCACCTGCTCCACGGTGTCATGGGTGAGCTTGCTTGTGATATTCTGACTGTGAGGATTACCTGGCAGGTTACAAAGACAAAGCCTTAGGGTCGTGACTATGTTCTCTCCTTTTGTGTTCTTTCAAAATGCTCTCTCTCAGTTTCTCAAAAAGCTAAAGATAAAATTACCCTATGACCCACCAATTCCACTCCTAGGTATCTACCCAAAAGAAATTCAAATGTATGTCCATCCAAAGACTTGCACACAATGTTCATAGCAGCTCTAGTCATAAAGCCAAATTCTAGAAACAATATAAATGCTCATTAACTGGGGGAAAGATAGACAAAATATGGTGTATCCATACAATGGACCATTATTTGGCAATAAAAAGGAACAAACAACCGGCTATGCCATGAATGAACTTCAAAAATATGCTAAGTGATAGACTTAGAAGGCACATGTTGTTGTGTGACTCCATTTTTGTTTTGTATTGTTTTATTTTTTTGAGACAGGGTCTCACTATGTAGTTGAGACTGACCTGGAACTCACTATGTAGCCCAGGCTGGTCTCGAACTCACAGCGATCCTCCTGCCTTAGCCTCCCAAGTGCTGGGATTAGAGGCATGCGCCACCACGCCCGGCTGACTCCATCTCCATTTATATTAAATGCCCAGTAAGGCAACTACACTGTACAGAGATACTGAAACCAGTAGATTAGCGCTCACTGGGCTGTGGTGGCAACGGGGACTACTGCAAATGGGCATGGGGGAATCTCACAGAAAATGAAAATGTTCCAGCTGATTATGGGGCTGGACCACTCAGTTAAAGTACTAAAAACATTGAACTGCATATTTGAAATAGGTGAATTTTATGACACATAAAATATGACCCAATAAAGCTGCTGGCGGGCCTTCCTTTTACTTATTAACTAAGCTGGGACCCAGGAAAAGGGGTTTGGAGAAGTCAGCTGCGAGGTAGTCAGGCCAAGAGCCTTTTCTCTAAGTTTCCCTCCAGGTGGCCAGGGCCGCTATCTATTAACTCCAAAGGACCAAGGACATGACCTCAGGAGTCAGAGCCATGAATGCCACTTCCTTCGTTCCCATCTGCTGCCTACTATTCCATCCACTGCTGCTGGTACTGTTCCTATAGAATCACACCAACCTCCTCCACCAGATATGTGAAGGGAACAGACCAGACCCTTAGCTTCCCACTCTCAAAACAAAAGGCTCCCAACCTCCCTGCCCCTTGTTGACTACCCCACCTCCCACACACATTCCTAATGTCCTCTTGTGCGTCCTGAAGAGTCCTGCTGTCTCTCCAAACTCAGTTCCCGGACATGAACACAGACTTCTGGCTGGCTTTTCTTTGGCATGGGATCATGTGTGCAGGTTCATGCAGGCTTGGCCTTTGTTCTTTCAGACCCTTCCCTACACCACCCTGCAGGGGCACATGGATTTCCGGCCAAGGCAGCGACCAGCAATTAATTCCTGTTCCCCATCAGCTGGTGACCTGTGGGACTTGATACTTGACCTCATCACCTTTCCTTACCTACGTTTTGAGCCCTATACCATCAGGACCAACTGAAACTCCAAGCGGCCATCTCATGGGCTAACAGTTTCACTGGGGTTATGGTTCTTACAAAGGTTAGAGGAGGAGCCGGGGATTTAGCTCAGTAGCAGAGCAACTGCCTGGCAAGCTCGAGGTCCTGAGTTCCATCCCCAGTACCAAACAACAAAAAACAAACAAAAGCAAAAAGGTTAGAGAAGAATTTCAGGCCTCTTTGCAAATCATAGATTAAAGTCAAAATAAAATTCCTAGTTGGCAGCTTCCCTGATGATTTCCCCAGATTTATTTGTATTATTTTTTATTAGTTTATGTTTGCAGCACATAATTATTACATTTATTGTGGAGGATTGCTACATGTACACAACACATCTGAATTCTTTTGTTCTTCTTTTTCATGCCTTACCCTGTCTGCTCCCTCCCTGCTCCTTCCATCTCATGATCCCCTTCCCATTCACAAAAGCTTTACTTTCATTTTTTCAATTATTTTTCCACCTCCTTTTCTTCCCCTCTTTCCTTCTCCCTTGTCTCTTGTTCTCTCATCCATGTGAAGAAGACCTCCCTACTTCCTATTTATCCATTATATAGACATAGATACAGATACAGATGCATTTCATGTTCTCATGTAAGAGAAACCATGAGATATTCAAGCTTGTATGTATGAGTTGTTTCACTTAATATTATGCCTCCAGATGCACCCATTTACCTACGAATGCCTTGAGTTTATCTTTCTTTATGCCACACTAGTACTCCGCTGTATATAAATACCACATCATTCATCTGTTGATGGACATGTGAGCTGTTTCCAAGACAGCTATTACGAATTGTGCTGCTAAAAATACGGGGATGCAAGTATCCCTGTAAAGTGGTGAAGTTAACTGTATAATTTCTCTCCAGATTTAAAGATCTACTGGGTGTCCAAAGCAGAGGTTCAAACACCTCAGTGTGGCATACCAGGACTATGAGGCCCAGGGGTGGCTGGGATGGGAGAATTAAGACCTGGCCTTGAGCTAAACTGCTTGGTAAATCAGCCCCCATCTTCCCTCAGCTCAAGTACTTCCTGTACTTGTATGTAAGCCTTGGGTTACCTATCCTCTTACGTGCTCACTTGTAAACTGGGGTAATAACAGAACCCATATTTATTGGGTTGTTGTGAGGATGAACAAGGACGATATTTGATGGCTTTTGGGACAGTTCCTCACACCTAGTGAGTTGTTGATGAATGGTATTGATCACTATTATCATGGCAAACATTACAGCTGCTATTTCAAACTCCTGTCCCAAAGTTACACCCTGAACAGTTGTGCTGCTGATTAATGCCCTCAACGACAGCCCATTGTTCCTAAAACTGCCAGAGCTCTTCCGTGCATCTACAGTGCCCTGCACAGGCCTGCCCCTTGCTTTCTCTCCACCCTCCTCTCTCTCAGTGGACCTGAATGGCTTCCTGAAATCCCTACTGGACCTTGGCTTGTGCTGTTACCACTGCCTGTGTCCCTTCTCCTCTTCTTTTCCTAGTGAATCTGGCCTTCTCTTGTCCCAGTGAATCCGGCTCATCCTCTGGAATCCAATTCATTCCAATAAAGCTTTCCCTGCAGATACAGACTCCCGCAGTGCCACATGCCATCTGGTCACAGACCTTCTTCGCACAGGTGGTAATTACATTTATTTGGCAATCCCTTGATTAAGATCTTGTCTTCCAGGACTAGTCCATACTCTCCATGAAGAAAAAGGTTGTGTTTATTTATACCCCTTACATTGCTCTGCCCCTTATAACATAGTGCCTTTACGGAATGAATGAATGAATAAATGAATGTTCTGCTGCCGCCCCAAACTCTGCACTGTACAGAGTTACTCACAACAATGAACACAGAACCTTCAAACCTCTGTGCCTTTCCTGACACTGATCCCTTCTTCTGGGAGTCACCTGTGTATCCCTGAGCTGGACACTTCCATCCCAGCCATACGTGTATGATACAATGATCCTGAGCACTTGCCTGACCCCATCTTATTCAGCTTTGTGTGCTCAGTATGATCTCCATCTATCAATACAACATCATTAAACAGACTTAGCAGTATCTATAGTAGTTGGCTAAAACCAGTTTTGATGTGGTATTTTTTTTTTCTTACCATAAACATTTTCCATGAGATCCTTAGTAAAGTTTGTGAGCTGGCTTTGAGGGAACAAGGTGGCTCCTGCATGGTCCAGGTAGACAGTTTCTGGGGGGAAATTGCAAAAAATAAAGCTGCAGGTTGTTTTGCACAGGTCTCCCAGATAGTCTGCCTAAATCTGGTCACGTGAGCCCACCCGGTGCCCATTCTTTGCATTTCAACACTGCACCAGCCCACTGATGAACCCGATCTTCTTGACACCTGCTTCTTCTCCACATCCAAGCATGAAAACAAAGAACTGCACTTCAGCTTAGTGACCCGCAAAGGAGCCTTCCTGATTAACCAGTTCTCTTAAGATCCTGGAATTGCATCCCACACAGAGGAGGCGCCCAGCAGACATTTGCAATAAACAAACATTACAACTATTTCACACTGTGATTCACACCCTGTTCCCGAGGTCCTGAGCCATTCCCCATGGGAGAGCCCTAATTCTATTTTCCCACACTGCTCCACAGCCCTCAAGCCTAAGAGCTGTCAGAGCTTCCAAGAAACAGGATTCAAACAATCCTTCCAGCCTCTCTCCTGAAGACAGAAATGCACATTTAGATGAGAATGAGAATGTACTTTTCCAGAGTGGCAGAGATTTTTTTTAAAGGCTAGGTGCCTTAGGGGCGAGATTGTGGGGTGGCAACAAGGTGCTGGCACATGGTTGGTAGGAGGGAGAATGGGTACAACTTCTTTGTGGAAAAGCCATTTGGCAATGTCAGACACATTTTACAATGCAGACACTTCATGACCTAGCAATTTATACCCATCCTTTTGTGAAATTACTTGTACTGTGCATAAAGATATTCAGCATAACACTGTCATAGGCAATATTAAAGACAAGTGTCTATCAACATATATTTAAAGTAAAGAATTTTTATACACTCATCTAGGAGTTTGTACTACTAATGTGCAACAAACTCTGAAATACTATTTCAAGTACATACAATGTCAATAGATCCATTTATTCTTTTATTCACTTAAATATTTTGTGCTGTATAAGATGAATTTCGATTTATAAGTTTTATTGATATATAATCCGCATATCAAAAAATTCATCCTCTCAAAGTGTACAATTCAGTGGATTTTAGTTTATTTATAATGTTTTACAACTACTGCCACTCTCCTATTATTTTATTTTATTTTTGTAGTAGTGGGGGTTGAATCCAGGGTCTTCACACTGAGTTACATCCCCCACCCCTGCCCCTTTTTAAACTTTTAGTTTTTGAGAAATTGCTAAGTTTCCTAGGCTAGGCTTATCTAGATGTCCCCCAAATACCTCATGTGCTCATAGGCGAGACTTCTGGAAGACTTATGGGGCTTAAAACTGACTTGCTGTTAGGAAATGGGATCTAGTCAGAAGAGGGAGGTCACTGAGGGTGTGGCCTGAAAGGTTTATTTCCCTCCCAAGCTCCCCACTTCACTCTCTGATTCCCAACCACTGTGCCACCATTCCTCTGTCATGCCCCTGGGCCTTGCCATCCTGCCTCCAAGCCAGCTGATGTTGTGCCCAGATCGCGATATCCCCAAAGACCACCAAGGAGTAGAGTCTGATGTAATCACATGAGGAGTTTATTGCAAGCTCGAGCCTGGACTCCTGGACCTCACCAACGTAGTGGATTCGTACTGAGAGCCCAGAACCCGGTTTCAAATGGGCTTTTTATCGGCAGAGAAGCAGATCTAGGGGCTTTCTAGACAGGTCAGTGCCTGATTGGTTAACATTCTGAAAATGCAGGCAGGGGACAAAGATATGCTGACTTGAGTTGGTGGTCAGCAGTCACGTACTCAGTAGTCACACATTGATAATTAACAGATACCTATAGGATGGTTCAAAGGCCACCAAGACATTCAGGATGAGCAAACAGTTTGACAATTAACTTGGGGTCTCCAAGTATTTCATAGTATAGAACCACTAACTTACACGTTAATCAGGATCCGGACTTCAAACAGTACAAGGTTGCCTTACATTCCTAAACCAGGGTTAGAACAAAGATCAGAGCTATGGCTACAATGAGAGGGGGTTAGAGCACTGTCTCCTAGGAACCTTTGTCATTTAGCATGGGCTTGTAATTTGGTCAAAAGGGCACTTTGGGGTTTTTCTAGTAACTGGGCAGTGACCTGATCACAGAATGGAGTAACTTTCAAAATGGAGTCAGTTTGGGCTCTACACTGATTATGAACTGAAACATAAGCCAAAATAAACCTCTCCTTTAAATTTCAGGTGTCAGGTATTATGTCTCGCAACAAGAAAGTTGCTAAGGCAAGATCTGGGTACTAAGAGTGGGGTTGTTGCTGTGACACTACCTGACTGTGGTTCAGAGCCTTTGAAAGTGGTTTGTGGAATGAGTTCGGAAAAATTTGGAGATACTGGCTGGAAAAGCAGCCTTAGAATGCTGTCAGGCCATGTTAATGGGAGATTCTGGTTAAAGCTCAGAAGACTAAAATGCTGATAAAAAGGAAAGAGAGTACAGACTGTCAGCAAGGTACAAGTCTGACTGGGACAAGTGCGCCGCACGTATGTCTCCTAGCACACTAGTAGAGGCCTACTGTATGCATTGAGCTTTGTCTATGTCCAGCTATGGCCTCACCCGTCCCCACTAGTTGGATGCCTCCATCGCCCATCCAAGGACACTCCAATAACCAATCCTGTTAAGCCAAATATATTACCCCTCCTTTGCCACTCTCTCTTTCAAAACTTTATAATTGCTGGCTGAACTTATTAAAAGTGGAAGCATTCCAGAAACCTCCCCAGAGGTTGCTTGGTGATTCCACGCCTTACCCTCCCAATCCAAGTTCCTGAACCTTGTTCCATGAGAGGGCTCAAGGACGAAAACAACAGACCAGACCCAGGAGGTTTTAGATGAGAACAAAGACTACATCAGTATTTCAACTCGAGACCAGGTGTATTGCTCTGGGAGAAAATTTGTCTTTTTTTTTTTTTTTTTTTGAGACAGGGTCTCACTATGTAGTTCAGACTGCTCTGAAACTCACTGTGTAGCCCAGGCTGGTCTCAAACTTGCAGGGATCCTCCTGCCTCAGCCTCTCAAGTGCTGGGATTACAGGTGTGCGCCATCACACCCAGCTCTTAAGACTGTGGGAGATGAAAGGTAGTGGACTAATTCATCTGGCCTAGGAAATTTCAAGGCAGCACAACATTCAGGCTATGACATGGGTTCTGTTGGGGGCTTTTAGCCAGCTCTATATCAAGAATCAAAAGCAAATAGCACAGTTGAATGATTTTTAAAGTTTTGAATTTTACCAAAAAGGAAGCTTAGCTCCTATAAAGCAGCAGGCCTGTAAAGCTGGAGCAGAGGATATCTTGGTTGCTGAAAATATTAGTATTAAAAGAAGCCAAGTACTTTACAAAGGATGCCTTGAGGGGATGGAAGGAACCTGAAAGTTTCCATTTTTTACAGACTGAAGTATGGAAAAGTGAAGGACTCTGCATGGAAAAGACAGGCCCAGGGCACCTTGCTTCAGAATGGCAATTTAGGGAATTTGTTCCCTGGGATTTGGTTCATTGCACTCAGAGACCTCTACAGCCTTGATGGGACTGGCTACTGTCTGAGTGACAACAAGACCTTGGCATCATCCACATGCTCCTGGTTTTAAAGGCATCCAGAATACAATAGTTTTCAAGGTCATACAGGCTTTCACCCATATTTCATAAGAAGGCCTGGGAGCCATTCAGTGTGCCCCGGAGAGGGCAGCATGTGAAGCTATGAGTACGAAGCTGAAAGTGCAATGGGGAACCCAGGAAGTTGGAGAAGCACTCGGTCCAGTGCCTGGCACACAGAAACCACTCCACAATTTTAGCTGTTATTAGAAGCAGGCAAACAACCCCAAAGCCAACTGACATTAGAACTTCAAGAGAGGTAATTTCAGGGTGTCTTCTTGGTCATGCTCTGTTATGGGTTAGATCTAAAATACCCCCTAAGGTGAATATGGTGGTGGATGTCTGTAATCCCAGCAACTTCGGAGGCTGAAACAGCAGGATTGTCTTGAGTTTGAGGCTAGCCTGGGCTACATAGTGAGTTCAAGGCCAGACTGGACTAGATAGCAAGACCCTGTCTCAAAAAAAAAGAAAAGAAAAGAAAAGGTAAAATGCCTCCTTAAAATCTCTTCTATTCAGAGGTGAGGCTTCTGGAGGTGATCAGATCAAGGGGCGTTATATTTATCAGTGGATTAATATATTAATGAGGGGAGGCCTGGTTGGAGGTGGGTCATGGAGGGTGTGTCCTGGAAGGGTGTACTCTTGTCCTGAGTTCCTCTCTTCCCTCTCTAGTTCTGCCTGTCATGGGTTGAGCACCTTTCCTCCATCGTCCCCTTCTGCCATGATGTTTCAGGCTAGGAACCAAGGAACCAGACTGAATCCTCTAAAAACTGTGACCCAAAATAAATCTCTCCTCTAAATGGTGGGTGTCAGGGATTTTGTTCGAGAGACAAGTAAAAAGACTAGTACATGCCCCGAAATTTCTCTGGGTCACACAGACTAAGTGGTTATCAATCAGTACTCCAAGGCTTCAAGAAGGACTTGAACTACATCTATATATTCAAGGTACTCGCTTCACTAAAATGAGGAAATTCCCACCCTACTGGATAAGCAAAACATCTCAACATTTAAAGGCTGAAGCTTTTAATCATCCAGAACCACCACTTAACAGATAAATCTTCAAACTTGCAGAAAATCCTCAAGGAGCAATGGGGAAAAAGGAAGAGAAAGAGAGGAGAGGACTATACAGTATTGTTTTTGTTTGGCTGGCTGTTTTTCCCTGACATCTCTCCAATTCACCTTTTTCTGTGAGAAAAAAAAAAAAAAAGTGAACTTGTTCCAAGGCTCCCAGAGGGGTGGGAGGGCTGTCAGTCTAGTCCACAAAGTCCTCTTCACCCATAGTGTGGAAGAAATGCTGGGAGTTGCACTAACTGAGGACACACCTAACACTACAACAAAGACAGGAGATGTGAAAGGGGCTCCCAGGGCCAGGTTGTAATCCTGGCTCCAGGACTGTTTCGCACTTAAGAAGAAAAAGTGCTGTCCCCGAGGGACTAGAGTGAAATCAGGAGGGCCCCTGAGCAGGCCTCGATTTTACGGGGTAGTGTTGAGGGGAGAAAGGGCTTCGGAGCTGGAGGGGATTTAGGAGATTAAGGAAGTGATGTGCAGCAATAATAACCTATTAATGATACAAGAGCTGGGCTTGGCTTCAAAAGAATTGAGGGACTCCTCCCTCTGCACCTGTGTGTTCAGGGCATCCGACTATTTTTGTGGAAGGAAATTTCCATAATAGGAAAGGGGGAGAGAGGAAGAGCCAGCGAAAGTGGAGTGGCCAGGGGCTGGGGACAGGGAAGAATGGGGAGGGAGCAAAGAGGTAGGTAGGCAAAGGCCCCTTGCGTTCCCCCAGACTCTCGGGTTCCCCCAGACTCTCGGCGGCGTCTGAAAAGAACCTGGAACAGCACAACCAGGAGATCACAGTCCATGCCACCCCTGAATCGAAAAAACAATTATCCTTCAAAACATAAGGAAATGATTCAAAGTGCTGAGCTCTGCCAAAAACAGGGGAACGCTCGCCAGTTGTTCACCACGAGGAACAAGTAAACCCAGGTGCCCTGGACAGCGACTGCCCGCTTCTCCTGTTGCCCCCCTCACTCCCACCCCGACTATCGGGTAGGCAGCTCTGAGGCTTAGGCTTCCTGAAGGAAGCCACGACTCAAGGTCTCTTGCACAAGGGAGTTGCGAACCTGAAGCAATGGGCTGAGATCGGTCACAGCCAGATGGGGCTTGATTTCAGCTTAATCAGCAGGTGCCGCCTCGCAGAATTCAGTGGCATCCGGCGCCACCAATTTACCTACAGGCTTGTCCGGTTCTTAAAGCTCAAATTGTACGGTTCGCTAATCTTCAAGTGTCCCAGAGAACTGGAGGTGGGAAGAGCTCGGAGAGATATTTCCGACCCGACCGCAGAAAAGAAAAAAATGAAGCTTCGAAAATGAAAGTTGCAAGTGGGCCACCCCGCCCTGCCCGGCGACCGCAGCCTCTTGGCCCCGACCCCGTGCTGGCCGCCCTCGCGCTGCAGCTGCCCTCGACAGGGGACATGCAGCATTTTGCAACCCTGGCTGCAGTTCGACCTTTATAATCGTGTTACCTCATCGAAACAGGGGTAGGGAAGATGAAAAGGGACGAAGTCGGTCCTGCCCCACTGAAAAGTCTAGAGCCTGCAGGAGCAAGAGGTCTTGGGGTTGCAGGAGGGACCCCGGGCAGCCGTGTCCCCGAAGCGGACAGGTGGACACATCCTTACTCTTTCCATTCAAAACGCTCCCCAAACGACACGGTGCCGCTCCCGCGGGGGGCAAAAGCCGGGAGTTCGTTCTCCGAGCCGCACCGTCTCACCTCACCTGCCAGGCGGCTGAACTCGCTCTCGCGTAGCTCGCGC